GGTTTATGAAGAAAAAGGGTATATGAAAGCGTTTATAAGGTTAATAAACCCTTTTAAAGGGTTTATTATTCTATGCCTATTTTTTACAGTAAACCCTACCCATCGGGTGTGAATGTGAATGAAGAGAAGACCTACATCAACATCCGCGCCCTAGTAATTTCATTTGAAAAGATGAAAATGGACTACCAGGTGGATTGTATATTCAAGGTGGGAGTGCATCCATTCGAAATACTGTCATTGCTAATAATTCAGCAGATGGTGCCGGTGGATTATTTTTAGCTAATGAGAAATTTGTAACATTGAATAATGTCAATTTTTTAGACAAAAAGGCATATACATGCCTCGATGCTGCAATATTATGTTCAAATCCTGTATCAGGTTCATTTTCTGGTCTAACTGTAGCTAATAATAAAGCTGATGGATTTGGTGCAGTATTCTGTTTTTGTAGTACATCAGTAACACTTTCAAATTCAATCATTGCTAATAATACTGTAGGTAATCCTTGGTCAGCCAATGCATATTCGAGTATGATAAACGATGGAACAGGTGTAATTCAATCATCGAGCAACAAACAAAGCCCAACTACTATAGCAGATGCTCCTCGGACGAATGGATCGGTAAACATGGAAAATAATATTTCAGTAGTACTGGATAAAACCTCATGGAAAATTCAGGCCATTGGTGCATAAGTCGTATATTCAGGCCCAATGATTGTTTCTGGCTTACAAACTGAAAATGTTTGTCTAAATGTTTCGATTCAAGTAACAGCGCTTACCTTTTATCCACATTGTAAACTACCAATCTGAAGTTTTATACCTTTACTTAAACTTTCAATTCATCAAAGTGAATATTTTATGAAGATTAATTTTACTAATCTCTAGTCAAACTGTATGCTCGGTAGAGAAGAAGAATAATTTTCATCAAAATATCATCGAGAAAAACTACGGTTGTGGTCAGAATGTAGTTCATTACATAAAAAACATGGATTTGAACTAAACTTCCGTGTTCTAACGATATCCAAGCAAGACAATAGTATAATTCGAACTAAACCCAGGTCAACAAATCAGACGTAATGCCTTGTAAGATTAAATGAAATCGTATAAAGAATTATTGTCTCAAGCATCTTGCACTTAATCATACTTTAAGATTCTTGAAAGACCTTACCATCTGATCGTTTGATCTAGGTGTTGATGTGGATGTGAAAGAGAATAGCCTGCAGTGTTGGTCAAGGTTTGCATGATAAGCTGTTTGTTGATCGATATGTTGCAGACTGTGATGAGGTTGTGGTTTGTTATGTGTATGAGAGGATGGTCTACGTTTTAGTTTCCATTTGGATGTTAGTTTTCTTGTGGTTGTTGGTTTGGATGAGTTTGAATGTTTCTACGGTAGCAGGAAGTTTATAATGTGGTAGAATGTCGATCAATTGACGGGTATGGTGGGAACCTTGGTGTTTGATTGAATATAGGGGTGCTGGCGACTACTTTATTGTTTGAAGGTGTTGATTTCGATTTGGGTTGCGAGAGCATATGGGTGTGAGCTTTGCTTAGGATGCTTGCAGATTTTATGTGGGTCTGATTGTAAATGCAAATTGAAGTTAGATACATTAGAAGTTGGTGTGGTTGGGGCTATGAAGATGGTTTTTTCAGTCATAATTTATTTGATTCTTGATGCAGATATCAATGGAAGATGTCGGTGGGCTAACTTCATGTGAATATCGATGTTGGTGTAACTACATGTATAGGCATGAACTTCGCTTTAGTTGATTGTGTACGTGTGTGTTCGTGTCAAAGGATGGAAACATCAGTACAGGATTGGACTTTGTGTGTGATTGATGTTTTCATGTGCATCTGTGTTCCTATCTATTTATTCCCACCACCACACATCCATACCGTAACCACAGTCATTATGTCGGTAAAAAGTTTCGTACTGTGGTTAACGTCAAAGGTTGTAAAACAGGGTGTGAGTGTGAGTGTGGGTGAGAGTCAGAGCAAGATCTCTATTCTATCCACAGTGGACACTCACACGTACACCCCACAACCTTGCTGTAGACAAAAAAATAAATAAAGTACTGTCAAAGTTTTTTCGCCAATTTTTTATATAATACCTCAGAGATGGTTTCTAAGTCATTTTCAACGATATCATCATTGAACAAAAGTTTGGACGATGTCACAGATATGATGTTTTTCTATTGTTTTTTGTGAAGCCAATAGTAACTTTTCTAACTTGTGTAACATTGTATTGTTCCTTATTTAATTCAAGTTCAAGTAGTTCATATTCGAGTCTTGAAACTAAAAATGAATAATACAAGTTTAGATTCAAAGATCATGTCCAACTCGAATATAATTTGATACATTTAAATGAATTACTCTGGTATTACAAAAATGACCGCAAGACAAGATTGACTCGACAAGTAGAAAGAAACCAATGTAACATTCAATATCTGTTCCATAGTTGGTCGAAACTTGAAAAAAATCAAAGCTAAGTAGATGGAAACAACTCTCGGTTTGTAAATCGAAATCCTTTCGAGCTATTTTGAACAAACAAAGAAATTTATTGACTAAGAATATTCTTGATTTAGTCTTTTCTTTTCTCAATTCTGTCCAAAGGATCTCGAAGAGAAACATCGTGCTGTTGAATTAAATATTTCAACCAGAGATATCCTTCGCGGCTGAAAATCTGCCGCTGCCACGCCACGATGACCTATAAAAAATCTTGCCGCGGTGGTTTTCAAAAAAGTGTTTCTAATTTCACTGCTGCGACTATATTTGACCAGAGATATTGGTACTAGTCCATCAGGTTCATTCAGTTTCGGGATGTTTCGTTTGTAAACCCTGAAATTCTATTAAATTCATGCAGCTTTTCAATGTCCTCCAAAAAAATCCTGCCGCTGCCGCGATGGACATCTCTGATTTCAACTAACATTTGACCACATTGTTTTAGATATTCAATCGACACCTACATCTTCATCAATGTCGATTTCTCTAAATCAAAATAGAAGTTAGATGGGGAAAATCTCTGAGGAATATCCATTCAAACAAAGTTTTGAGTTGAAAAATCAAAAGAATTCGATTGATTCCGAAAAATGTTAAGAAGAAATGATACAGATCAAATAATTCATCAGTAATTACCGTTGTGACATTATATGTCCTTACATTGATTTCAAAGAAAAGTCTTCAAATATCAAACAAATAGACTTAACTCTAAGAAAAGTTCTATTGAGAGAGAAGCATCAATGGGTGACGCATCAGCACTGCAAGTTATAGCAATTGTTTTCTCAACTTGTCCACCTCTCCTATATATACTAAAGTAAAACTACTTAACCTAACGTACACATATTCAATATCTTGAAGGTGAGAATGGATAATTGTTAAAATGTCAGGTAAGTTTTTACATGACTATCAAGATGTGACTACACTGATCAGTGAACGACAGGTAACGACAAAAGAAAAAAAATTGAGTTTTTGCTAAATTAGATTGAGTAAATCTTCTCTGTTCGATAAAAAGCGCATACACTATTCGGAAGAGCATTGAAGCTATTGTCTGATGAGTTAATACTGAAGCTCTATAAATATCATGCCCTTGAGAAAACTAAATTCAAGAAAAAAACAACCCATTTCTATGGAACCATTCACTAAACAGAGAAGGCAGAAATGCGGAATGAACCCATTAAAAAGCTAAGTGTTTTCCAAAAAAAAATTGAATCAACGTCACTCATGATTGTTTTTGGTAAGATATCACCATTGAAATTCGTACGAAGAAAAGAATAACTTTATGCTGTATAGTTATTACAATGATACATCACACTAATTCATTTGGAAAAATGTGTCTTTCTATTTATCTAATGACCCATTACTGATTGGTTATCACATTTGTATTGAGCAAATTTCAGGAATTTTTCTTAGTTTGACATTGAAAAGTTGTCATAATCGTTACTATGTAGTACCGATAAACGCCATGTTCAATGCAATGTAATTTGGTTTACAATATTTTAATGATGCTATTTGAAATCACAATGTTATCTTATGGAATAGCATCTTTACACAGATTGTAGTTCTCACTTCTCTTTATATTCATATAAACTTTTAGAGGACAATGACTTAGTTGAATGGCTATTAGACAAATTTCGTTCAATGAAAACTCAATAATTTATACTTACCACAACCTAAATATTGTTAAATGCATATACCATAGTATAGATGTTGATTGTGCATTTTCGGTATATCATCTGTTAATAGCAATTTTCTGACTAAATTAAACTTCTTTTTTTACGTGTATGTTCTCTTTAGTTTTTGAAGATTTGTTTGAAGAACTAATACTTTTTCAGTACCTATCAACTTTAAGAGCATATCCTGATATTGAAGTATCACTCACGAATGGGCACTTTGACAATCATATCCTGACTGACAGTCAAGCTTAGGATAGGATCATATGTTGGATAGATCAGATGAAACTGAACAGTCAATTGAATTTAACCTGACCTTGAATAAATTCTGAGTTAATTTCTACGAATAATTCGACTCTTTCTCTCAAAACTAAACAGATTTCGATGGGAAAGCTGAACAAAATCAGTATCGGTTTAATTTCTATAGTAGATCTGCGTACTTAAGAGGTCCCCTTAAAAAATCGAATTTTCAAGGAAATATCGAAGTTGAGTTTTTATCATAGAAAGATACAGCAAAGCTTCCTCTTTCAGAATATATATAGCTTTTTGGAAAATGAACAGATTTTCAAAGACCTATCACATCAAATTTTGAGTCTACTACCATATTTTTGGAGAAATTTTCGTAGATTTTCAAAGTTTTTCAGTTTCAAAAAAACTGCGTTACCACTTGCATTATCATTGAATAGGACATTTTAATATTAACCAACATGTCAGATGGCGTTAGCTTACTGCATCTGATACGTGCTTTAAAAAAGTCCAAGGATATATATTGTAAATATGTCACTTTAATATGACTTTTTTGAATTGAAATGAAAAAAATCCATTTCTAAAACTTCTTTAGCGTTTTTCTCAGAACATAGTTTCCAATCAGAAAAATCGGAACTACTTCCCCATTTCTCGAGCTATAACCAATATTTTCTTTTTGTTTTAAAGGCCTCAATAAGAGTAAATTTCTGTCCGAATGGATTTTTTATAGTTGGTTCCTAGGCTGAGACAAGTGGGATTTACTGTCGTTGGACCACCATTTTTTATGCTAATTTTAAGACCCGTCTACGAAAATGCTTATAAAAAACGAGCAATAGGGAATCCAGAACTTCTGTTCGGATAAAGGTTGCATACTAACATTGGCTTTAATTTGAAACCAGTTCGAGCTCTCTACCTCATCTTACGACGGAGTCATATCGATTCTTCTGAGGCCAAAAATGACCTATGAATCAGCTGAAAATCTGGTCTAGTACGACCAATCGAGCTGAAATTTTTTACCAGAAGCGTATGTCTCTAGGATCACTCATCCTTAGAAATTCCAGCACGAAAGAACCATTCTAAGTGGAAAATCTTTTCTGAGGGGAACCTTAAGTATATTACAGAACAGTACAATAATTAAACAAAATAACACAATAATTAATATGATAAAATATCTACTCTTGTAAAATTCTAATCATAGCTATCATTCAATAGAAAAATATTTACATACATATTTAGAATGTGATTATCCCATTGATATACAATTTTGCAATATTTCTTTAAATATATATATTTATATATTTGTTTTCTGATTTAGTTCGTACTGTTCGATTTTTTTTGTCACACATGCAATCACTTCCACACTCACTGACACAATGTCACATCTGGAAAAATATTGACACACAGATAATGAACAAAAAGAAGAAAAAAAAATTTGTACCACAGAAATGGATACGACAGCAAAATACAGTAAAAGTGACAAAAGAAAAAGAAATTCTTTGATGATATGAATACACGCATAAAGACAATGACACCACCACGGATACACAAAATAGCACCATTGATTGTGTAGGATAGGTATTGATTTTTAGGAAAATTGAACGAGAAGAAAAAATGATCTGCCATGCCATTTCGACAAATGTTGGTCTTACATCAAAAGTTTATTAATGATCGAAAAAATAAATCAAATAACACCGGGAAGTGTTAAATTTAATCATCACGAATATTAAAACAACGAGATAAATCACCGTTTGGGACCACAATAGATTTCTAAAAAAAAAAAAAAATATTATACTGACGATTATTTAAAGACAAAACACGTACGATCACTTTCGCCTGCTGACAAGTTTTCAGGTGTAGGCGAATGAGGATAATCATCACTTGACTATTGAAAAAAATAAAATATATTAAAAAAAAAGAAAGCTTAATTAGTAAACATACAACAACAATAGTTGATTTCGATACTGTAACTGGTTTTAATATGCCACAATCATCAAATTTAATATCTTCATCATTTTCTGATATCATTTCAAATATATCATTTATTGCTTTTAATTTTTGTCTACTTGACATATCTTTTAGACGAAAAAAAAAAAATACAATAATACTATTCATTTTATTTATTTTCACGACTCACCTACACCCGAAGCTGTTTTTGTTAATGTAAAAATTCGTTGATTATCATAAGCACCAACTAAATCATTTAGATTAAGTGGTATCAACGAGTCATTCTTAAAAAAGAAATCTTTAAATTAAGAAAAAAACAGATTCGCTTTTCCTACCGCATAAAAAACAAATTGTCCGATAGATAATTTTAATTTATCAACAATTGGTTGTAAAATTTGTAAAAGTGTTCGTTTTGGATCACATCGTACACATAAAACTTTTAGTGGAAAATCAATACGTATTAGAATACGTATTTCAACACGAATTTCTTTTCCAGATAATGTTGATAATGCTTCATGCATATCAATTGGCTGCTAAAATACAATGAAAAAAAAAATACTTATGAGTCAGATATAAACAATTAGATAATAAATAGATAACGTTTGATATGATTATAAAAACGCAACAAAAAAAAGAAAAAAAGCATATTTTTATTTTTTTAATAATGATATTATTACATAAAATGTTTTATTTTATTCTTTGCATTTGTATTTATTACACAAATGCAATTCCACCGATTGAGCAAACTATGGAAAAATTAATTAAACTTATCAGTGATGATCAAGTAAACGAGATGCTTTCTTGAATAAATTCATTAATTTTTATTTTTTTAGGTTTTAAAACCGGCTGAATTTAAATTTCCACAATGGGAAAAAAAATTAGGTCTTTACCGTTCTGAAGTTCGGCTAGACTTTTTTGGTGAACCATTACAAGCTGAGTTACGTAAAAATAAATATATTTATGTTTTTGATAATAATATGTTCGCTACCGGGTATGTTTAAAACAATTTTGTATATTTTCAAATAAAAAGAAAAGACAAATCTTTTATTTTATATAGTTGGATATCAAGTGTATTACTAGAAGCTACTGTGTATGGTCGTGCTCCAAAAATAATTGATACAGAACGTTTATCGTTGGCTATTGATGCAATTGAAACATTTCATGATCATAATCAAAATGAATCTTCTGTTCCATTGATGACATTTTGGTCTCAAATATATAATCAAACAACAAATATATGGCAATCAGCACCAGATAATTTACGTTATTTAATTACTGATTTTGATGATAGTCTTCTGCTTATTGAAGATATTTTAAAACTTCTTGGAATAAAAAATATTGCACAATTAATTGATAAAATTCGTACAAGTAGTGCAGCATTTAAAGATGTTTTTCAAATTCCACCTGATTTTGATGATACATATTTAAATATAGGTTTAGGTGTACAATTAAAATTATTACAAGATAAATATCCATCGCTCTATTTACGTTGGTTACAAACAAATTCTAATATGAAAAAATTAATTGATTTAACATTACGTTATGCTTATAAACCATCAAGTCAAAATTTAGATCAAAATACAATTGATCCAAGAACATATTTTTGGATAAGAGATTTTGTTCGAGATAATCCACAAGCAGTTCTTGCAACAACATGGGCACAAAATATAACTGAAGTTCGAACGATAGCACATCGAGGTATTAGAATGCCATTTAATTTAAATAATATTGATGTTACTGTTGGTGCTAATGTTATATATGGAATTACAAGTGCTATTATTTATGATTTAGTTGATTTTAAAGATTATTTTAATCAAGATATGCAAGTAAATATTATTTGATTTTAATTCTTTTTAAAATTCTTTAAGTTAAAATTATTGTTGTTATATAACAATTCGTTGTTGAAGGTTAGAAACATGTCACACTCATTTTATCTTATCTAACTGAGATAATAAATCATAAGATGTGTTGACATCTGAAAGTATCTTTTAGAGAAAGAAAACAAAAAAGAGAATTCTTAAGTATAATCAAAATAATTATATCAACAAAAACAAAACAAACTTTCAATGAAATCTTTGTCAAATTTCAATAGAATTATTTTTATTCTAAATGACAGAATGTTATAGAAAAAGAAAATTCTTTTTCTTTGTAAAGATCTAACTACTGTTTTCGCTAGTAATGAGATATAATTAACTATAATATTTGCAGAGATAACGATGGCATTTTCCGCTACATATTTTAAACAAAAGACTAATAATAACTAGAAAATTCAAAAATATACATTGATGTCTAACATGACATATTTATTATTGTTTTTTTTTTGTTCAGCCCTCTTTTTTCTTCCTCTCATCAAAAAACTATCTATCTACTACTAGAAATTATATCTATATTTGTTACTATAGAATTAAATAGTGATTAATAGATGGTATGTATATTTAGACATTATATTTATCGACAGCATCATTAATAGCATGGTCAATAAAAAATTCAATGAAAAATCGTCCTGATCTTGCACAAGTTTATTATCCATCACATTATAATTTTCTTTGGTATGGTTCACGTAGTTTATTTCTTCTTGAATTAGCACGTCGTCAAGATAAATCACTACCCGATGTATTTAATCGTGTTTATTCCTTATTATCGGATGTTTATCGTAGTGATGTTGTAAAATTTTTTCAAGATCATGTTCGCTCTGATAAATCATCATATGATGATTTTCTTGGTACAAATGATACAAATATATTTGGAAAATTAGAACCAACAGGTGAAGATAGAATATTTTCAACAGCACAAACTGTCAATATACTTATTGCTTCATTTACTTATTTTGATACAAATACAGGAAGATTAAAATGGATTACGAATGAAAAACAACTTGATACAATTAAAATTATGATTAATAATTCGATATCATGGCTTCTTGAGAATGCATTTAAATATCAACCTTTTAATTGTTTTTTTTCAGGTTCTGTTAAAGGTTTTAATCAATTACCATTTTGGTATCCAGCAAATATTTATCAATTTTTAAATGGAACTACTTTCGATCCAGATCACTTTGATACTGAAAATCAATCTCTTATGGATTCAATTGTTGGTGTTAGTGGATATATTGATGAAACAACATATGAACGTATGATATCTCAAAAACATTTTAATGTATCAACACCAACAACATTTAATGGGTATAACGTACCAGGTGGAGAATTTCCTTTTTGGTCCTCGCAACCTTATACACATTCAGTAACATTATTAGCACTTGCTCAATACAATAATTTAGATGACTAAATAAAAGTCTATTTTTTTTTGTCCTTCTTACCTGATCATTTGAAGATGTTGAATACAATTCTGTTCGATACCAAATAAATCCACGTTTTGCAAATAAATGATTTATTGCTTTTTGAATAGATACATTTGTACAATTATATGTTAGAACTACTGCTGATGTTTGATCGGGAAATATAAAACGACAAAAACGCGATGTATCTATTGATAATGTTGGTGAATTTTCCTATAGAAAAAAAAAATAAAAACAATGAGAATTTTGTTGCTTGTAAAAATCTAAAATAAGAATAACTAACAATTAAAGTTTTCTTTTCAGAAAACGATGTTGATTCTTGATTTGTTTCTGAACGTGAAAGAAAATTAAACGATGATGAATCTTGTTGAGTAATATTTGGTAAAATTTTATTTATTTTACTTGATAAATTTCCACTATTCGTTGGGATTATTAGTGAAGATGATGATGATGATGCGCTAGCAAGTTTTGTTTGTGTTAATATAGTTCCTAATTCAGTTGAAGCTGATTTATTTGTAATTGGTGATGTTAGAAATGGTGTTAAACATAAATTTTCATGTATTGGAGTATTTGTACTAGCATTAGCAGTTTGATGATGTAAATTGGACAAAGAGGAAGGTGTATCACGTTTAACTAGATATTAAACAATAAAATTATTTTATATTTTTATCAACAAGAAAACAAAATATATTTGTCTTATAATAAAAATACCCTAATTTTTTAAATAAAAATAAATCTAGAAAAATGGTATGTGAAGGTTTAAATACTTATTTTATCTACCTGAATAAAGTAGAAAAGACAGTGAAAACATGCGCATGCTGTACACTATTCATCATCACTGGATTCTTCGTTGAGCGTGTTACTCGCCGAGGCTGTGACTGCAACGAAGAGAGGATCTATATCGATTCTTTATTACGATCAAGAATCGCACGACGACTATATAATGTAGCACAGTTATCCATATGGATATATAAATATATGTATAGATAAATGTGGAATAATTAAACGAAGAGTCAGGTTGTACAATAAGCATTAATTTTCATTTTTGTCTTTTTTTTTCTTTTTCTTTTTATTATATTTCGAGTTCAACAATGAAAATTAATAATAGGATAAATCCATGGGAATCCTACCATTGTTCTAGGAAAAGATTTTTTTTATGAATTTTTTTGTGCTGGTGAGGTGTATAGTGGATAGAGAATAATTTCGATCGAAAAATTTATGTGACTTTTGTCTAAAATACTGTTATTTCAGGTCATTTTCAAGGAGCATCTGTGGATGAGATGGATCATCAAAGTTATTACAATGTTGAAAGCTCATATTTTGTGCAAAGGTAGATCATCACTAGACTAGCACAACCTCCAAACGATTCTTTGTTTGAATGTATTTTGACTGAGATATAAGATTTTTAAAGGTAACGACTTCTACATATTAATTATGAAAAAAGCATGTTGGTCCAAATGATGCAAAAGTCATAATCCTTAAAAATCTTATATCTCAGTCAAAATACATTGAAACAGAGAATCCTTTGGAGGTTGTGCTAGTCTAGTGATGACCTATCTTTGCACAAAATATAAGCTTTCAACATTGTAACAACTTGGATAATCCACATCATCCATAGATATTCCTTAAAAATGACCTGAAGCAACAGTATTTTAGACAAAATTCCCATAAATTTTTCGGCCAAAGTTATTGTCTGTCCATTATGCACCTAACCAGTACAAAAAAATCTTTTTCTAGAAAAGTCGTTGGGTTCCCATAGAATTACCCAATAACTAAAAAAAAAAAAGTACTATAATGTGCAAGACTATTTCTATATATAGTGCTTTGATAATAACACACCAATTTGTTTTTAATAGTGATTGGTGACATGCTATTTTGATCTATCTAGCTCACGAATTTATATATATCTTTATATGTATGTATATGTTTCTACAGCAGAATAGATCAAATCGATCAATCATTGATGTACGTTCACACCTCATTCGCATGCAGAACACCAAACAACTGACACGAAGCTGTCAACAAACGAAACGATTAGTATTAGCAAATAGCAGTAGTTGATGTATTATTAGTAGCAGCAGCACAAATTGATGATGATGATGATTATTATTATTATTACTATCACTTTCCTCTATCTATTCGTGGCTCGATCTCTCTCGAGTTTTCACGAACAGATGGGGAAAACACACTTTTTTTTTAAATATTAATTAGACAGACTACGGTTTTTTCTATGTTTATATATATGCAGAACAACAAAAACAAAGAATAAAAAAAAAAAAGAAACTTGCTTGTCTCTGGTGTAGCTAGATAAATTAAGAATGAATAGAAAATATATTAATCAAGAAACAGACTTAGCTGTATACAATAATAAAGTAGATAATTAGACATAAACAAACCTGATAGACGTTTCCATTTAATGAATGCTTCAAAAAAAAAAAAAAGAAATAATAATAAAAATATAAATTAAATGAAATTTTTTTTTTTTAATTTTTACCTTTTGTCCAAGGTAAAAGTGGACTTCGTTTCTTATCTTTCTTTTCATCGTCTTTTAATTTCGCCTAAAGAACAGGAAAAGGAAATTTCCTATGTAATCAAAATTTTATTCTATTCATACAAAAGAATCAAGTGTTTTTGTTCTTTCATCATAATTTGATGAAGTTTGTTGTTGTTGTTGTTGTTGTTGCTGTTTTATAAATGGTATACTTTTACCTTCCATTTCACTCATAATACAATCTTTATACATATTTGATTTAAGAAATCTACTATATGAATCATATTTCATTAATTGGAATATCTGAGATTGAGCCTTTTCAAATATATGAGCATGAGGCTTATTTAATAATGACTGTTGACATTCTTGTCGTGTTCGACTATCAATATTTATTGGACATGAACCATCATCTGTATCATGTAAATAAGTGGACCAAATTAAATTGGCATGATGACGAATCTTTAGGGAAAAGAAAAAAAAAAAACTATGTATATTTTAATAAGATGAAATTAAATTAAATCAAACCTCTTCTGGATCTGACAATTTTTTAAATTTTTCGCATGCAATCCAAAATTGAATATTTTCTTGACTAAATTCTTTTTTTAAAAATTCCGTAAATATATGTAAACCTGCATCATCATTGAGCAATTTTTCAAAACCAACAGCCCATGAAGCAACACGACCAATTTCTAAAAGTTTATTTGTTGCTTCAGAATCATCTTGTTCACATTGTTTATGAACACTTGTTAAAGAATTTGATATTGATAAACGTGCTCCTGATAAATCTCCAGCTTCTTCATCAGTAACTGCAAGTGACTGAAAAATATAAATGAAAAAAAAAAAATTTCTCAATTAAAAATCAATTTATCAGATAAGATCAAGTATCATTCTATTGATCTTTATACCTTAGCCTTAATAAATTTTTGTGAAGAGCGATAAGATACAATCTGCGACGACATCATGACTTATTATTGTTGTTAGATTCAAACTTTCTGTGCAAAAAGAGCCAAACACCGAAAGAGAACAAAAAGAGAGTATGGGAAATTGAACACGACACGAGAAGGAAGAACGTGTATAGTCTCTCTTCCTGTCTCTTTTTTTTTTGTTTTTGGTTTTAGTAACAAAATGAGCTTTGGATGAATCAAACCTCTTTTGCTCTCGTTTCTTTCTCTATCATTTTACTGTTCTGCCTCTCTATTCTTTTGTAGATCGCTTCTCTCTCTCTCTCTCTCTCTTTCTCTCAATGTTGCTAGCGGCAGTGATAAATATTATTCTTGTTAAGCATTAGTTGATGTATTTTTCCTGTCATTGAAATATGCGTAGCGCATCAATGAAGACAAAAAAAACCGAGAGGACAGCGACTGTCTTAATATGTCACTTTTTTTGACATGCATAAAAATCGAAATAACTAAATGTACCTCTTTGTATTTTATCTAACTCATTAGACATCTTTGAAAATTGGAAGAGAAAAAAAAACGCCTATATCCGTACTAAAGAAGGAACGAGATAAATTTTGACAATAAACTGAATAATTACTTTGATTTCAACCGGAAAGATGTCTTCATTTCTTTCTTGTTTGAATGATAATAAGCAGATGTGACTTGTTTTTATCAAAATTACAATTCTATCTTCATTTTTTTAAAATCTATATCAATTGTATGAACGAATAATTTGTGTTAAGTTATTGCGAATTCTCCTCATATAATAATACTTAATGTCATCATCATTATTGCTCCTCTGATCTTCTGATATAGTTAAGGCTTATCTATTTTTATCAGTCGTAGAATTGTAACCTCGAGATTTCAGCAACAAGAAATTCTTAAAAGATCAACACTATATCATCCCTTTTTCATACATTTGTTCATATGAATGGTATTGATCTGATATCATAATATTTAGTAGAAAAAGAAGGAAAAAAAAAGAATGACAAGTATGATACATTGCGTGCAAAAAAAAACAAATCAGACAAAGAAAAAAAAAACAATTTTGAGGTCGGATGCCAGAACCATTACTATAATCACCATTGCATTGCATGATTATTTTTTCACTGATTCATTCTCGTTTTGACGGAACAGCACAAAATTACTAGAGGAAAAGACATCCGATGTCATTATGAATATAAAAACGGAAAAAATATCGAACAAAGAAAACGTTCATTAAATGCTTCTTCTTTAAAGTAGATTAATGAAAACGAAAACAAAAAAAAAAAGAAGCTTTAGCTAATATTATTAGAAAGTTATCTTATAAAATAGTTCTAAGTCGTCTTGGGATTTGTTCATAGCAATCTTTCTTAACCTTTAAGATATATCAATGATAACAATAGATAGATCTCTAGAGAGATTTTAAGATAGATTTCTATAAATACAATAATAATAATAAGAAGAAAAAAAAAAGAAGATAGTTTTATATTTTGACATACATTCTTATTTCATTAGAGATTTTAATCTCTAAAGATCAACGAAAATAAAGTCTATTGATAGTAAAATAATACGTTGAATGAATTTAATTTATTTGAATCTCGCTCGAGAAGAATATATTTTGTTTGATAACTTTTGTACATACCAATGTATTAGCAAGTTTATAATCATTGATACTCGACTGACGACGAAAGTCGGTGAGAAAATTTCGTATAAATAAATGGCGATGATGGTGATGATGATGATGATGATCACCAGTCGCACTAGTACTATTACTACGCATGATTCTCTTTTGAACATGAGATAGATATATTAAAAAAAAATTTTTTCAATGATTTTTGTTATTGTCTTCGGTGTTCTTATTATTATTGTTGTTGTAGTAATAGTGATTGATTGTTGTTTGTGAATCTATGCGTGTGAATATGAAGCAAAAAAGAAGGGAAGAAAGAGAGTAACTCTATCTTCGATTCGCTACTATATGTTGTTGACTAACAGAGTTTCTTACTCTTATAATCCTTAAAAGCTCCGTGGCATGCGATGCTCAGACAACGAATCCTTCTTTTTTGTTCTTCTTCATCGCCTTCTGTTATTCATACGCTACAAATATTTTCTATCGCGTCACTGCGCGCAAGTCTTTTCACTATAGTCCATACAAATGGATCCAAGGCCAGAACGGACGCATGATAGCGCGCATGGAATCAATAATTGAGTCTTTTCGATTGACAATAGCGAATGAGAAGAAAAAAAGAAAGTAGTAAAGACAACATTGCTTTAGTCATTTTCTCTATTGATCACATCGATTAGATACTACTACATATATCAATGAATACTAATAGACTTTCTTCTCATTCATATCTTAAATATAAGAATAGATTGTCTATTTCAATCTATAATAATGCATTTATTAGGTGCTTATATAAAAGAAATAACAAGTCAAATATAGTGTGAAAACAGAACAACTTTTTATAGAAGAAAGGAAAACGAAGATCTAGGATGTATAAACATGAACAAAACAATAAAAAAAAATGCATCGTGTGCACTAAGCCGGAAGTGATCGATTCCAAATGATGTGATCCTGAGTGTGCACACACGCAAACCCATAAAAATAAATGTAGGAGGAAAAACAAAATGTTATTCCCTAGATTATAGAAAGAAAAACTATCTAGGCCTTCGAAACAGGAAAGATAACTAAAAATGATTTAATGACCAATAATTATTTCTTATTACACTATTGCTTTCACACTATAAAAGTTAATTAAAAAAAAGATTACAAACATATCAAAATTGAAAAACAAAACACGAATAATAATTTGTTTTTTTTTAAAATCTTTGCCGTATGAATATATATATATATATAATTTTTCTTTAAACTTGAAAAGATTGTTAAGATTAAAAAAAAAGTTTAAACAAATTAGAATGAAAGGGAAAAGCAAAAGATACCTTAGCTCGTTTAAATTGTCGAAATCTGATAAATTGTGATTTATAAACTTTTTTATTCTTCTTTGCATTGAAAAAATCTTGCTGACGATGTTTATTCATATTTATCATAGTTGTGACCGAATGAATACCATCGAATTTAGAATGAGAACAACTATAATAGCAATGCATTTCTATTTCACGTTTATATATATATATATTTATCATTTTTTTGTTTATTAGATAGTATAAATAGGAGAAAATCTGATCACGACTATCTAATAGGATCACGAACTGTCTCTCGTTTTTTTTCTCTCATTTGTTATTATTCAAGTGTGAAAAAAACGCTCCTACGAAAAACAAAAAAAGACAATGATTCTCATCATGCATAGTTTATGATGAAGAAACAAACAAAACAAAAAAAAGTTGAGAATTAATCAAGCACAATTTTTCTATTAGTAAGAAAATTAGAAAAAGATATTTTAATGAGATTTCCACATGTAAAAATCTTATATTGACTATTGTTCTTTTGTCTATTCAAGATATTCGATCATAAGAGATTAAGTAGCAAATTTTTATCTTTTGTATTTTCGTTTTTCCGCATCTATAAAAATCATTATACAGAATAAGTCTTTTCTTTTTTCTTTACTAAAAGAATAAAAATATATTACGCTTGATAGAATTAATTTTCGTAATAAATTAAGATCTTCTTTCTTTTTGTTGTTGTTTTGTTCCGAAATAAAGCAGACAATAAGATTTTAAGAGACTGATAAAAGTTAGTATGTAACTGATTTTTTTTTATTGTATTGATAAAATCGATTTATCTCAACATAATCTCAAAATAATAAATAATAAGATTCTCTTTTTCTTTTCTTTTTTTTTTTTTTTTCTTTTGTTTTATTCAAACCTGAGCAGCATGGCTTGGTAATGGAGTATAACAAGAAAGACGATGTGTTGTTCGAGCACAATCGGTCATAAATTCGCCCAATGTTTTGATTGTTGATGTGGACATTGTTAATATTCAAATGACAATTTTCAATCGATGGATAATAATGATACAAACATAGATTTCTATATGTGATTTTCTTTTTTTTTGAAACTCAATGTTCATGGAATGTCAATGCGTATATGCGTGTGCGCATATTTTATAATAACATTTTGTTTATTGCCGATGTCGAACGACGACAAACGAGAAATATCGGCTGGGATAGTTCTAGACGACGCGCGGAAAAGAGTGATGAGAGCGAACGAGAGACTTATTAATTCTAATCGTATTAGAAAAGAAGACAGAAGGCCGGACAACAGATATAGATAGTCAAATCATCACATTTCATCGCGACAACGACGAACATAGACAAACTTTTTTTCTTCTTCAGACTTCAAGTTGCGCGCTAACGCATGCCGTGTAAAAAATATATATATATACGTTGCTAAAGTCTCTTCTGATCATTAGACAATATTCGATTCTCGCGTATGCGTTCGCTCTCAGATAGAATTATAGACAGAATGATAAACAAATCTCGTACTCACAAACGCGTCACAAACTGAATAGCCCGATAGAGTAGAAAGAACATGCGAGTGCTATTTCTTTCGGATGAAATGAAAGAAAAAAAAAAGATTGTTTTTATTTGGCTCGTCAGTAAAATGAACAAAGACAGAAAAAAGTGCCGCTGGATAATAATCATAGAATGACAACAAAGAGAATGGAAATAACAAATTTCTCAAACAATTTGTGATTATTTTATAAAAATAAAATCGAATCGATTGCAATGATAAAAATTTTGTAATTTATTTTATCTACTTACATATTGAAAAGTGTTTAAAAAATCTTCAGACATAAATTTTTTAGAATAATTTCATTGTTATATTTCTTTTTTTTATCTATTTTTCTTTTTTTGATCAAAAATTTCCAAAAACCAACTAATGACAAAAATAAAATTGATTTGCAATGTATTTTGTTATAAGATTTTATTATTTTCTCAAATCAGACTTTAATACATTAATAGAGTTCACAATGAGAAAAATATTTTTCTTATCGATAATTACAGTAGTATTACATTTACCGCCAATAGGTAAAAGAAAAGGCTCTTTTCTTTTCTTTTATCAAAAAAAGGCTATTTTTTCCTTCTTTTTTTTTACCCAAGTCGATGGAAATAACGATCAAATTTAGCCTGAAAAAAAATTCATCATTCTTTTCAAACCATTAATATATGCCTCGGCGGAAAAAACAAGAAAAAAAACTGGATCAGTTTATGCTATAATGAATCATATTTATATATCCTTTGAGAATTCTTTTTATGTTTTTAATGATCTTTTCTTCTTTTTTTTCTTTTCAATAAAATTCATGTTCTTTTTTTTTTGAAATTAAATTTATCGATTTTCTTTTTTAGTATAACGTCATGATAATTTGAAAGATTATTTTTTTTTTTCTTATTTTTAATTCAATAAGTATTAATTGAATCATATTTATTAAATATTCTACGAAGAAAATTCTATAAAAAGTGACAATAAATTAAGCATATTCTTTATTAAATTTATTTTCAAGACACTCCCCTCTTCTCGCACACAAAAAATTGATTTTTGTTCCAAACACATTCAAATTTTCATAATATATTATGACTTTACTAAAGGAGACTATGATAAACTTCATAAATTAATAATGATAATATTTTTTGAAAGATATTCATCAAATTATAATTAATAAATAGCTTATATTACAATCCGGAATTTTTTTGTAGATGTCTGTTAGAATGAATTGGCTTTATTCTTGTCTCAAAGACGACACTTAAATCTCAAATATGACAGATTTCTTTCTTTTTTGTTTTCTATAGATTCTTACTTTTTATACTAAAGAACATATTGACCTGTTTCAATATCATAAAAAATAAACAAGAATCTCGTCTCAAGAATACATTCTTATATAATAAATCAGAGCTTAACTCCAAGAAAGAAAAAACACTCAGAAACTGTCATAAAAATAATAAATTGACTAATAATTATGTTAGTTATGAAATCCATGTCTTAGACAATATATACTTCAAAAATGTCAATTTCGACCATAAAGAATGAGTTTTGGTAGGTAAGTGACAGAAAATATAAACAAAATGTCATAAAAATGAATGCCTTTAGTCAACAAGTTGTATTGATTACAAGAGCTCAAGCTTCGGGCTATGAATACACATGCTTGTCAAAAAATTTTTAAAAATTGATGATAATCAAATTTTTTCGATTGGAATTTTGATTTTCAAATAAAGAAGAAATATTCAATTATATTATTTAGAAAAATTTTCAAATGAATAATGATTAATATTATTATAAACCACACAAAATAAAAATTACACGTAGATTAATCTTTGTTTTTTGTTTTGTTTCTTACTATATATATATAACTAAGTATTTTGTTAAGTCTTTTACAATATGAACTTTAATTTGTTTATCAAGAAATAGTTTCTTTTTCTTTTTCTTTTTAAATACATAATTTCATCATGTAAACATAACGAAAAAATATGCACTTCCTATATGAGAACTAAATAGATAATTTAACATATTGATTCTATACTAGAGTCATGACATTTTTTTTGCAAACGAATAAATCAACTAAGTTCATTAGAGAGTCGATTGGTTCTTCATGTTGTTTTCTTTTATAATTTAGTTCTATAGACATTTTCAATGATAACAATCGTTTTCTTTCTTGCAACCGTTTCTCTTCCTCAAGACGATTAACCGGAATAAACAATCCATCATCAATGCTAGTTAGCTGCTACTGATGGCTTCGCATGGTTTATCTCTCATGTGTTATTTAGCATAATTTCCTGGTGTTTGTCTTTGTTGAAAAGAGAGTCTTAGTTGAGTTGGTTTCAACAAATTTAGCATCTGTCGTCGCTTGAAGGAAACGATTATTTATTATGTGAGTATGCAAATACGAAGAAAAAATAATAATGAACTGTTATTGATATGTATATTTAACAATTTATATGTATACGAATTTATTTAACTATTAAATTGATGTTAAAATGAAACTCAATTAATGTCAAATAATTTTTGTTTTTGACATTATTCTTTAAAATATTTTATCCATGAAATATATTTATCTAGAGAATAAAATATTTTTCTGTTCGATGTCATCATCATCATCATCATCATCATCATACATCTTGTTGAAAAACACTTATAAACATGTATGTCTTCGACAGAATAGATATCTAATCTTACTCGATCTTTTGCATTTTCTATATGTCAATGACCAACAAGAATACTTATCATATACTGTAGACATACCAATGTTGAAGTAGTAAAACTTGCTTTACGTAATTGAGAATTTCGACGTTGATGATGGTTGACAATTGATGTGCGACGTTGATGATTACTGACACCAGAAACATTAATATTCTGTGCACTGCTTATAGATAAACGATGTGAATCTACATCCAATAAACAATGACTAGTACTTATGGTTGTTGTTGATATTGATGATTTTGAAGTGATTGTTAATGAATTAAATGAAGTATTAAGATGATATGAAGACATGATTATAAATAAGATCAATTAATAATAATAAGATAAGAGAGAAAAGTAAAATTCAATAGATTATATATAAATGAATAAACAAAAATGAAAAATTAATTTTGAAAATGAATAGATCTTTGTATTGTATTTGTTTTCATCATTATCATCATCATCATCGTTATTAGTGACTACCCATCATTTAATAAACACATTGACACATTATACAAAAGAATGATGACAAAGAGAAATAGAAAAAGAAATAGTTCTTGTATTATTACAAGACACAAGAGAAAGAAATTTCTTTAGTTTCGTTGCTTTGAAGAAAAAGCATAATGATGCGTGCTTTTCTAAAAGGAAAGAGATCAGAGAGAACGAGAAAACAGAGAATAAAGAAGAACAGAGAGAAACGAAGCCTTGCTATGTCTCGCGGTCCGCCATTGAAACGAATACAATAAATCGTTGATGATGATGATGACGGGACGGTTTGCTTCCTTTCCCCCTCTTCACCCCCTTGTGCCTTCTTTCTCGCTTTCCTGGTGTCGAACATCGCTGGGACTCTCGAGCAATGTTTTACATACACCAAGAAATAACGCCAACGATACGGATATGTTTCTTTCTTTTTGCTCAACAACGAACGACCGCCTGTAGTTATCTTCTTCATCATTGTCATTATCTCAATTTTTTCTTTCTTCTTTTTCGGTAATAGTTTTCGGAGAAAAAGAGAAGAAACAGAAAGAACGAGAAAATACAAAAATGATCTCCAATCGAATGTCAAGTCGAATTAGTTCGTTATTGGTTTAATTAACGAGATCTCCGTATTTTTTTTCCGTTCGTTACTTAGGACTCAGCTTTTACAAAAAAAAAAAAAAACGGAAAAATATAGATATAATTTAGTTCGAATAACGGCAATAATAAAAACAACAACAATGTTGATGATGATGATGATGACTGTACTAATAGTTTTTAATAGTTCAACGAGTTTTTCCTTTTTTTTTTTTCTTTCGTGAAGCAATATCGCGAACCATCTGCTGTTAGTGTTCTTCGAAGCGTAGACAAGTGATTCGATTGTTTCTTCAATCAGTCTAATCAATAGCATGCATCTTATCTTTTTTTCAAAACACAAATCCATACAAATGGGAAATCTTTCTTCTTTTTTTTTCATATCTTTTGAATATAATTAATTTTATTGTTCTTCTAAGAAACATTATCATTGCAAGGTGATGATTGTCACAGGGCTTCATTTTCTTTTTTGTTGTCCCCTGATAAATCGATTACTCTTTGCTTAATATTCTAAACAGGAATTACTCTACATGTAATAAAGACCAACATAAGAATGTTATTGTCCTTTTACTTTTTCTCTTTGCTTCATGCGTTTGTAAAAAAAAAATATAGACAAAAAAAAGCATGCGCGATAAAGTATGGGACAGTATTTATCGGTTTACTCTGTGTAGTTGATTACAGTTATTCTTCATTGACATATACACACACATTATATCTAGATTCTATTTATATTCATGCAATAGAGAAATATGATAAGACAAGAAAATGATCCTATGTTCAAAGCTGACATAATTAAAAATTGTAGCCTTAAAACTCTTTCTCTTATCTATCACATATTTCCTTAGGTCAATGATTATAATAGATTTTTTTCTCAATTACACAGTAAAAGTTTGTTGTTGTTGTTGTTTTCAATGTCATGTAAATATCTAATCAGTAAATTATTAAGTGTTGATTAACATTAGGAAATACTATCGCAAATAGTAGACAACTTAATTAAATATTATTGCAATAATCTTCTATTGAATAACTGATAAAGAATTTTTTAATAAACAAGATCGAATATATTCGTTTTTTATTTATTCTCAGCTATATTCGAGAATAAAATTGTTTTAAATATAATATAATTTTTATATATTCATTTTTGTTTTTCACCGTGATAAAAATTGTTTGCTGCTAGTTCACACATAATTGATTCACTATTGTTGATCAATTTTCTTTTTCTTTTCTTTAAAACTCAATACAATATATTTATGAAAAAAAAAAATTTCTTCTTCTATATTTTCCGTTTTTTTTTTTCAAAAAATGTTTCACGTTTAAAAGTCATTGTATGATATATGCTTGTCAACAAGAAGATAAATCTAAATATTAATCTTCTTATGTCTATTTATGAAAAAAAAAAGAAACTTCTTATATATATTCCTAGGTAAATATATATAGTAATTGGCAAACATTGTTTTTACCTCATGCGATCGACTAATATCTCTTTTTTGAAGAAATTGTTTTCGTTTGACCATACCCAGTTTACCAACAGATTTTAATTCCATGTCCTAAAATAAAGGATAATAAAAAAACAACGATTTTCGCTTGTATTTTATTTTGTTTAAGTATATTTAAAATTAAAATCTATTCCATCATATAAATATTAAAGAAAAAAACGTGTTAATTATCATTATTTCTTATGTCAGATATTATTATTCAGTTATATGATATTATGAAAGAAAATATTCAATATTATTTCGTTCAATATTACGCAAAAAAAGAAAATAATCATCATTGAGGCAAGTAGTGATCATCAAAACACAAAATCTTATTATTTGTTCTTTTGTTATTATCCCATTTCTCATTTGTCTCATTATTTTCTTTTTCTTTATTTGTCTTATTGTTCATTATACAACACCAACAACAAAAAATAACACCGGAAACTTTCTTTTTTTTCCTTCTTCGTTTACTTGCCACCCTTTTGTTATTATCGAACGACGAAAGAAAATTCCCAAGATGACATTTGGTTGATTGGCATTACTCTATAGTACCATCGATTCGACTCAAATCAATTTATCTTCATCGCTCTCATTTTTTTTTTAATTTCATGTATATTATTCAGAGAACATAGTTATCAATTGAAATAACCTTTTAACAAGAATCAAAAAGATAATATATAAAAAAATTTTCAAATTTCTAATAATAGAAAATATCTATTTATAAACAAAAACATTGATCAAGTATTATTTGTTTCTATTATTGCTTATGAAATATCTTTTCTTTTATTGTTTTCTTTTGATTTTTCTTAACATTAAAAATTAAGAAAAAAAATTTTTTTTTTATGTCAACTAAAATAAAACGAATATCCAATAAATATAAAATATTATGAACATACATGTTGATCCATAAGTTCACATAAAATAATGCCTTTTCTATTCGACAAAACAAAAGTAATCTTTCAAATACTATTTATATTATATAAAGACAAAGAAAAGAAAAAGAGAAAAATCTTATACTTCGATCTTAAAAGAACAAAGAAATAACTCAATTTATCATATTTTTTTCTCTTTCTACCTATTCTACCTGTATTTCTTCAGAATCGTCAGAAGAAATTTTTGGAGACATTCGTCGAATAATGTAAGTTGTTGAATGGGGTGGCATTAATGTTGTTGCTGTTGAAAAACATGATGTTGATTGTTCAATAATTCTCTCTTGACATTGAAGTTTTCTTCGATAAAGTGAACGTTTTGTTTTTGTTGATGTTGTTAATGATGGTGCAAGATTCTTTTTCATGTCCAAATAACGACTAATAGTTATAATTATATGTCGATCTAGCCGTACACGAAACTTTTTAGTCGTTATCGTTAGAAAAAAAGATGCTTTTGTTGATGCATGTTCAACTAATAACAACAAAAACCTAGCACACCTGCACTCGTGTCAAATGCTCTGTTGAGCTATGTCACGAACATGAAACACGAGCACTATAAGCTCTTGCATTATGGTGTTCGATGATGTTGACAGGCAACGTTTTTTTGCAGCAGTCACTATTTCTTCATAGAATGGAGGCAAGCAATAAGAGATAGAGAGGAATAGACACATACAGAGAGAGAGAGAAAATAAATGAAGTCAAGAAAAATAATTATGCCAACACTCCCATATACACATTGGTAGGCATAGACAAGGGAAAAGTCGACTTCTCCGCAAAATAACCAGACATGATAATAGCAACGCCAATAAAAAGAGTCCCTTAATACGAACGTGAGATGTTCGGAATAGAATTATCACGATCAGTTTTCTTTATCTATGTTTTCTATGTGTCTATCTCGTTCTCTAGTATATTTATCGGTTGAGTAATATCAAAAAATTATTCAAACTCAACAATACACGCACAACTGCGTGTCTTTTGTCTAGTCTAGTTCAACATTGCAAACATTATCTAGTAGATTATTTTTAATAATGAAGAAAAAAAAAAAGAAACTAATATTGAAAAAGGAAAGATATTGATTATTTCTTAATCTTAATCTTCTTTTTTTTTTCTTTTTCTTGATAATTTTTTTTTTAAAATAGATTAGCATGGTGTTTATCTTCAAAATTTTCATTTATTTTTAATTAAGAATATATATGAATCCTTTTTATATTAATATAGATGATGAAATTAACGTTAACATGACATTTTTTTTCTTTGACAACAAATATGAACGAAAATCAATTAATTATTTTTTGATAATATTATTTGTTTTTTTGTTTTTTTTGTTCTTCTATGTTTTGTAAATAGAGCTGATTATTTCATATCATAGAGTATTAAGATTATATTAACTAAATGAATAATGGAAACAACTACTTACAAAACGATAAGTACTACGAATTGATGATGATGTTTGGAGTACGTAACACGCACACATTTTTACATTTATATAGATCAAGTTTTTATGTAAATATAAAACTAATGATAAGCTGAAGAAGTATAACTAAAAATTGCCTTACTCAACTCTTATTAAAACATCATATTAACCTGACAGTAGAAAGAGAAAGCTCTCAATTTCCACTTGAGATTCTTGTTCTTCTCTTTATTTTCTTCTGTCTTTTTTTTGTTCTTCTTCGTTGTTTTTTTTTCTCTTCATAAGAGAAGAATAAACGTTGTTCCACATATTCATCTACATTTTCATAGTATTATTCACCAAACGTCAAACAGAATAATAACATCTGTCTTTGTAATATAAAATATTAAAAAAAAAAAATTAAAGAAAAATTCTTTTAAATAAATGAATCCAAGTTTATAACATCATTGAAAATATCCAGATGACAGGTTTGACATTGTCAATAGACTAATTGAATCTTATTTATTCATTATATTTGTTTTTATTATTAATATTTGCCACTTTCTAAATCATAGTGCTAATAACAAAGATGTCGCCATTGAACAATATCCTTAATTAAGTTATTCACCGTTTTTCTTTTCTGTTATAAATAGATCAATATAAATAGATCATTGATAAATTGATATATCGGTGTATCTTACACGTTTGCTGTTCGAGTTACATACGAGTGTCATTTATGATCACTCTTTATATCGAATTAAATTTGTTTTCAAGTTTATTCGATACTCGAGGGAAAGTCCCCGAACCCAGGGATAGCAACTATCCGATCTTTAATATAAGATCTATCATGTTTATATGCTAAACACTATAGACAATATTATTTACCAAGATGAGATTTATCTCAGAGTTAATAATTTTGTCTGTGTTTAGTGAATATGATATCGTTGCAAATAAAGTTATGCAAACAGTCTATGGAAACATCGACTTACACGAGGGGTGCTTATGAGTGAGGTACATCCTTTTTTTTTTTTTTGTTTCTTATTTATTCATCATAAATCTATTCTAAAGAATAAATACAAGCATTGTTATTAATTGTATGTGCCTAGATTAATAAAGAACAATGTGTAATCTTGAATTGAATAATTTGAAAGAATACTGAATTCTATCCTTTTATTTCAATTAAAATTCTATTTTCTGTCATCATGCCTATTCTAACTCAAAAGTTTATATTTATAATCTATTTTATAATTATCTAACAATAATAAATAGTGTCTCAAATAACACGTACCTCGATAGTTTGATGTTTCTTTTTTTCTCCTCGAGTAAAAAAAAAATATTAACAAGAACAAAAGATGTTAAAAAAAATACTTTATTAAAAGGAATGGAAATTTTACATATTAATAACTTCAAAGGATTTGACAGAAAGTCAAACAAATAATAAGTAATGTGTTCAATTTGAATATGATATTACAGAAATTAGATCGAATAAATAGATGAATGTAAAAGTTTTCGTAAATAAAGAATTATTTTTTATTTAAAAATATATATTTAAAAAATGAATGACTCCCATCAACTTTGTTAGATGTTTTATTATAATCAAGTCTAGCCAACCAATGATAATATGTGATGATCCAATTGAATTAACGGAAATTAATAGAATATTTTGTTTCATTTGAAATATGAAGGTGAATAGGAAAATCCTGATCAATGAACCCTTTGAAGTATACAAGGTGATGTTAGTCGGAAATGTTTCTCATTTTTCACTATTTATTCAAACATATCTTGTGTTATTAGCTGATTATATATTATATAATGAATGCGTACGAAAAATATAAGAAGAATGATATGATTAAAGACAGTATGAATAGTAAAAATTATTCACAGAAAAAAAAAATGAATTGACTAATCAAAGGTTTTCTTAACTTTTCTATAACAGTATATTAAAAATGATAATAAAAAAAAAATGAAAGCATTGTACGATTTCTTTCATCTGCTTCAAAGTTAATTATAAGAGTAATTAAAAAAACATATTTCTGTGTCAAGAATGCTAACTAAAGCTTTTCTCTTTTCTTTTTTTTCGAACCATGGTTTGTTTTTTCTTTTTATCTTTATTAAATGAAACTTAAAAAATAAAATTTTAATAGAAAATAATTTTTAACTTAAGTTTTATTTTATTTCATAAAATTATCTTTCAGAAAAAAATATTTCATTAATTATAATTTCTGAGATTGAATCTTTCCAAATAATATTCTTGTCATGTTTCATTATTAATATTGATTGAATATGAGCAGTCATCATCAATATCTTATAAATAAGCTTAATCTAATTAATATTCAATATCATGAAATGATTTCTTCTACAGTCAACATTCAATCATATTTTTATCATTTTTTAATTGGAAACTAAAAAAAGAAAAACAGGAAATATGTTTCTACATAGCCGGATCTAAGAATACACATTCAAGCAGAATAAGCATGCAAAGACAAGGGTTAATCCTTAAAAACAAAAGTAGCTTGGTTTAATTACTGATCCTATTCTTATTTGATAATTAAACAAAATTTCTTATCCTGAAAAAAAAATCCTATTAATCTTCTTTATCGAAGATAAATTACTTCTCTCGATGATTGCTTCATTTATTTTAATTAATTAATGATCATCATAAATGAAGAGATGATAGTAAATATGTTATTTTTATCGTTGATGAATTAGTAATTTTTTAACAAATATTTGATAGTTTCTTCAATTGATTTTCTTCAGCAATAACTCATTTAATCAACAAAATATCGTCATCTTGATTCAATAAAGCAATCAAGATTTTACATATGAATGCAATCAATCATACAAGAAAATTATCACATGATTGATTATCTACTTTTATAAAATATACTGTTTATTTCAAGCTTAAAGAAAACTGAAACAAACAACCACCAGCATTAGAGTTGCCTAATCCAAGTTTCAGAAATCAGTAGAATATGAACAATTTATGATGGCATTCTTTTTTTTTTTAAATCAGAAGGAAAATCAGGAGATTTTTATTTGAAATTAGAGAAGTACATTGTAATTTTTTTTCGACAAATTATGAAACTTCTATTCCAATAAGTGCTTTTCTCTTTATCATCTCAGTTTTATAGTGAAAGTATTTTCTTAGAAATTATGTGAAATGAAAAAGAAAGATAATCATTAAAACATCTATTATCAGTCATTTCATGATCGT